GCGAACCCCTCGGGCTCCTCCATCTCGTCGGCAGAGTGGTAGGGGGTAGCCCGATCGGCCCCTGGGAGAGGCTCTTCCCCTGCGGTAGGCGGGGCGCCGTGCAAACGAGCGTAGCCCTCGCGAAGCACCCGAACCCCCGATGGATGCGGCCAATAGACGCGGCTGCGCACCTCGGCGAAGGGAACGATGCCTGCGTCGTCGCCGACCTCTAGAGGGCACAGCGACTCGAGCTCGAGTTCGGCAACCTCGATATCTATAACGAGGACGGATGCGGTAGTGGCGAGCGGCCGTGAAGCGGCCCCCTGGAGCTGGACGTCCACTAGCTGGAAGGGGCCTATCATCCCAGCAAAGCCATCCGCCTCGGCAGCCTCGAGCTCCGCTGTAGAGCGAAAGGCACCAGGCAGGGCCAGCAGGATGCCCCCTTCTCGAGAGGCGAGGGGGATAGCCGCCCAGCTGGTGTCGCCGTCGTCTAGGCGCCATCGTGCGTAGTCGCGCGCCGTGGGCGCAGCGAAAGGGTAGAGCTCGGGCCAAAGGGGCCCTCCGCCAACTGGTGGCAGCTCCGCCATCAATGGGCGCCGCCGTGGAAGCCGCCGCCCGCACGCTGGGCGTCTGCCCGCTCGAGCGCTTGAGGTCGAGGCGGAACCCCGTAGGCCAGCGCTCGCGCCGCACGGCGGTCCTGCTCAGGGGAAGCAGAAACCGCGCCGCGCGGCCAGGCGGAGGGCCAGAGCCTCCGCCACACGTACGGGCCCAGCAGCCCGAGGCAGCAGCCCGCGCAGGCGCTGCAGGCGGCCGTCACCCAGAGGAGGGCGGCGACCGTGCTGAGCAGCCAGGGAGAGACCCCGCCGCTCAGGTCCACCGCCAGCCCGAGGCAGACGGTGGGGCAGGTGGAACCCGCCGAAGGGAGAGGGCAGTAGGCCCCCTCACCCTCGGACGAGTCCGCCTGCTGGATGGACCAGGCAGGCGATGGAGGCCCCTGGTCCTGAAGCACAGAGAGGGGGGCAGCCACGAGCCGCTCGTAGAGCGCGGCCCGCAGCCCCCTGAAGAAAATCTCCCCAGCGCCCTGGAGAGCCGCTTGTGCGACCGCCTGCATAAGGCGCCCGCACGCGCGGCCGACGGGGGGCACTTGGGCAGAGAAGCTGCGGAGACAGCAGGAGCTTGCTCACAGAGAATAGAAGAGGCAGGAGGAGGAGGAGGAGGAGGAGGAGGAGGAGGGAGGAGGAGGAGGAGAGGAGGAGAGGAGGCGAACGAAACCCGAGGAGGAGGAGGAGGAGGAAGAGAGGAGGAGGAGGAGGAGGAGGAGGAGGAGGAGGAGGAGGAGGGCCGTCCCCGCCCCCCACACAACGGGACCCCCCAGATATCCGTGGCCCCGGGCCCCCCCCCCTGGACGCCCAGTTGCGCAAGGTGCCCCCCCTGGGCTTGTCGGAGCTCCTGGAAGAAGCACCCTGCTGAGCCCAGGCAGCGGGCCCAAATCGCTCACGAGGGCGGCCAAACGGCCCCCCGAGGGCCCCAAGAGGCCCCAGGCACCCACTGGCCGCCCGAAGACGACCCAAAGAAGACCCTCAAGAGGCTTCCAAAACGCAGAAAAAAACATTCATTTCTACCTAACAGCGAAGACTGATAGGTTCCTAGTGGTCTCAAAAGAGAGCATCATGACTCCCCAGGGGGGTCCGGGCAGGATCCGGGGAGAATCTGCGGATCCGCCAGTGACTATGGGGAACGCACCTTACCTAACAGCGAAGACTGATATGTTTCTAGTGGTCTCAAAAGAGAGCATCATAACTCCCCAAGGGGGTCCGGGCAGGATCCGGGGAGAATCTGCGGATCCGCCAGTGACTATGGGGAACGCACCACTGAGGCTGAGGCTGAGGCCCCCAGCGCCGCCAGTGACTATGGGGAGTGCACCACTGAGGCTGAGGCTGAGGCCCCCAGCGCCGCCAGTGACTATGGGGAACGCACCACTGAGGCTGAGGCTGAGGCCCCCAGCGCCGCCAGTGACTATGGGGAATCCACCACTGAGGCTGATGCTGCGGCCCCCAGCGCCGCCAGTGACTATGGGGAATCCACCGCAGAGGCTGAGGCTGAGGCTGAGGCTGAGGCAGGCTGAGGCTGAGGCTGAGGCAGGCTGAGGCTGAGGCTGAGGCTGAGGTTGAGGCTGAGGCTAAGGCTGAGGCTGATGCAGGCTGAGGCTGATGCAGGCTGAGGCTGAGGCCGAGGCTGACGCAGGCTGAGGCTGAGGCAGGCTGAGGCAGAGGCTGAGGTTGAGGCTGAGGCTGAGGCAGGCTGAGGCAGACGCTGAGGCAGGCTGATGCTGAGGCAGGCTGAGGCTGAGGCTGAGGCTGATGCAGGCTGAGGCTGAGGCAGGCTGAGGCTGAGCGATGAAAACACGGAAACAGGCACGCCTTGCAGCGCCTTGCAGCGCAGCGCACTACTACTACTACTACTACTACTACTACTACTACTACTACTACTCCTACTACTACTACTACTACTACTACTACTACTACTACTACTACTACTACTACTACTACTACTACTACTACTACTACTACTACTACTACTACTACTACTACTACTACTACTACTACTACTACTACTACTACTACTACTACTACTACTACTACTACTACTACTACTACTACTACGACTACTACTACTACTACTACTACTACTACTACTACTACTACTACTACTACTACTACTACTACGACTACTACTACTACGACTACGACTACTACTACTACTACTACTACTACTACTACTACTACTACTACTACTACTACTACTATCTATACTACGACGACGACTACTACTACTATACTACTTACTACTACTACTACTATACTACTACTACTACTACTACTACTACTGACTACTACTACTACTACTACTACGACTACTACTACTACTACTACTACTAATAACTAACTACTACTGACTAATACTAGCTACTGCTACTGCTACTGCTACTGCTACTACTGCTACTGCTACTGCTACTACTACTACTACTACTACTACTACTACTACTACTACTACTACTACTACTACTACTACTACTACTACTACTACTAACTACTACTACTACTACTACTACTACTACTACTACTACTACTACTACTACTACTACTACTACTACTACTACTACTACTACTACTACTACTACTACTACTACTACTACTACTACTACTACTACTACTACTACTACTACTACTACTACTACTACTACTACTACTACTACTACTACTACTACTACTACTACTACGACTACAACTACGACTACCACTACTACTACTACTACTACTACTACTACTACTACTACTACTACTACTACTACTACTACTACTACTACTACTACGACTACGACTACGACTACGACTACGACTACGACTACGACTACGACTACGACTACGACTACGACTACGACTACGACTACGACTACGACTACGACTACGACTACGACTACGACTACGACTACGACTACGACTACGACTACGACTACGACTACGACTACTACGACTACGACTACTACTACTACTACTACTACTACTACTACTACTACTACTACTACTAGGCAGAGGCTGAGGCTGAGGCAGGCTGAGGCTGAGGCTGAGGCAGGCTGAGGCTGAGGCAGGCTGAGGCTGAGGCTGCGACTGCGACTGCCGTTGCCACTGCAACTGCCATTGCGATTGCGACTGCGATTACACCAGAATTCTACAACAGGACTCCTACATGAATCTCAAAGCAATGCTTCCAAATATGCTTCTACACACCGCTGTTAGGTTGCTTTGCCGGGATAATTTTAGCTTGTTGCATGATTTTGGAATACCCAAAGAAGGCCCCCAGAAGGCATTCTAGATTCACGAAAAACAATGATCTCCTATTGTCTGCTCATCTATTTTGGGGATGCTCTGTTCTTCTGTTCCTGGGCGTCCGAGGCCGCGCAGGAGGCTCGAACCTCGCCCCAAAAGTAGACCTGGCGTTGCATTTTTTCTGCAACGTCGGATCTCAGGGAGAGCCCCCAACAGCCCAACAGGGCCCCCAAGATGGCTCGAAGAGAGCTGGAGGGCGCCCCAAGATGGCCCCCAAACGCCCCCCTAAACATTCCAAATCATGACCCGGCCGTTCAGGGAGTCCGCGGTGGGAAGCAGGTTCGCCCGAGGAAGCCCCCAGAGGCCCCCAGAAGGCGCCCGGGAGGCATCCAGAAGGCCCCATGAAGCCCTGAACAACTTTCGTGAGGCCCGCACGAGGCTCTCTCAGGAGGAGCCTCCGCAAAAAGAGCTGAGGAGGATGTGGAAGAATTCGCAGGGCAGGACGATATTGAGGAAGAAGGAGCGAAAACATGAAGGACGGAAAACAATTCGCATTCTTATATCGACGATGTCGGAACAAGAAGCAAGGAGTTATCGCTCAATTGACTGTTTTACCCGCCTGCCCTTTCGATCTTGCCGATCGCCAGAGCATTCCATATTGGCCAGTACTGGGCCACTGGCGGCTTCCAACCTTGAACGCCCGCGGCGGGGTCACCGCCACCTCGGCACGAGACGAACCCTCAATCCAAAATGTGGCCACCTGTTGGGGACAAAAGGCTTACTTCCCCCAGCCTTCCGCCGACGGAGGCAGCCTCGCTTCACTTTCGCGGGGCTTCCACCGCCATTCGGCGCCTTCCCCTGAGATCCGACGTTGCAAAAAGTTGTAACATCGCAAAAAATCACGCCCGGACCCCGGACGCCATCTTTCTGCATCATTTTGCGAGCCGGATCGATCTGTGAGGGTCCCAGGGCCCGAAATCCAGCGAAAACGCCTGTTGCGAAAACAATTGCGCAACGCCAGGATCTCAGGACTCCGCGCCTTCCGCCGAGGAAGCGGTGACGACTCCTCCGATCTTCGAGCGCGGAGCCTTCGTCTGGAGCGCCTCCCACGTCAAGTCCGCCGCTTCCCGAGGCCCAGGCAGGTCGGCACCCCCAAACGCGGCGGACACGTGTGCACAGATCCCCGCCCCGGGCCTCCGCCCCCGCGGGCGCGAACTTGTCCACCTTGGAGGCCTGGGGGGGGCCGGGAGGGGGGCGGCAGCTCTGCCCGTCGCCCGGAAGAAGTGGGCAGAAACATGAAGTGCAGCAGGAGCTCGACCACAAGAAGGCCTCCACAAGAAACCCAGCCCTGAGACCCCAGGAAGTCCATTGGTTCTTCATGTGGGAGCGTCGCGCTTTTTCCATCGCAACCCAGGGCACCCTGGAGGCCAGCAGGGTGTTTCTTGGCATGGGCCTCCGCTGTAGGAAGGCGTCGGCGGTAGATTAACTAGGTTTCCGCCCGCCCCTGGAGGAGGAAGGACAAAAAACGAGCAACCGCTCGACCCTTGAAGTAGGAAGGCGCCTGAAGTAGACTGGAACATGGGAGCCCAGAAACACCTGCTCTCGACGACTGGAGTGCACGCCTGCGCCTACACACGTGTGGGGTCGAGGCCGCGGTCGGGAGAGAGGCGGGCCTCTGGCTCAGCCCTGGCTAGAGGCTCCGTCGTAGCTCTCTGCTGGACAATCCTTGCTGGGCGCGCTTTCTCCTCCATGCCGTATGCCTCTCGTTCCCTCTGCCAAGGTGGAGGCTCGGTTCGACCTCCGAAGCGGCAGCTTCCGATCCCGTGGGGTGGTTGGCGTCTCCCGAGGGCCTTCTTCTTCGGGGCGGCGAAAAGCGTAACGCGGCACACCTCGCAGGCGATGAGGAGCACAAGCAGGCCGAACTCCTCGGTCGCGTTCGAGCCGTCGGGCAAGTAAGGTACGACTTGCAGGATCGCTGTGGCTGCCAGACCTGGGAAGAACGCGGCTGCGCACATCACCGTGAGGAACGCCAGCAAGATGGAACGACGAAGTTCCTGGTTTGACGTGGAAGAAAACATCGTGAGTGCTCGGGTCGCGTGAGGTCTACCGTCCCGAGGGTATAGGGTAACTGTCAGTCAGCTAAGATCGCGACGCTGCGACTGCGCTTGGGCCAAATCAGATACGGAGGATGACGAGGAGGGGAGGGAAGAGGAGAGGGAGGAGGACGATAAACAAAAGGGATAAGGAAAAGTAGGGGGAGCGGGAAGAAGGGGGACAAGGCCTCTTGGCGTCCCGAAGAAAACAACATCAACTGAGCAAGCAAGCGAACAACCAACCAAGCAAACACACACACACACACAAACAAACAAACAAAGAAGAAAACAAGTAAGCAAGCACGTAAGCAAGCAAACGAAAACACGCCCACCAAACACAACAACCACACAAACAAACAAACAAGCACACGCACAAACAAACGAACAAGCAAACAAGCAAACACACATACACAAACGAACAAGCACACAACCAACCAAACAAACAAACAAACAAACAAACACACAAACAAACAAACAAACAAACAAACAAACAAACAAACAAACACACGAACAAACAAACAAACAAACAAACGAACGAACAAACAAACCAACCAACAAACAAACAAATACAGAGACAGATAAACTGTTTCGTCAGCGGCGAGTCGGCGGACTCCGCTCCAGCGAGAAGCTAAATCGGAGCACTAATTAGCGAATTGGCCAGCGAGCAAGGAGGGGGGGGACGGCCGAGAGGAAGAAAGGGCGCCCAGACGCCGAAGAGTTCGACGATGAGCAGCCGGGGGGGGGCAGCAGCAGCAGCAGCAGCAGCAGCAGCAGCAACAGCCAGGCGCGCAGGGCCAGAGCGCGGCGGGCGGCCGTGGCGAACCGCTGCGGCATGGGTGGCGGGGAGCGGCAGTCAGTGGCCGGGGCTGGCGGGGGGCGGAGTGGGACACCGCGAACGACGTACCGCGGCGCATCGAGGAGAAGGCGCGGCACTGAGCCGTGGGGAGGCGGGAGCAGCGGCCAGATGGCTGGCAGTGACAGGGATACTGCGGCGTGACCGCCCGAAGCCAGGTGGCCGGGGGGGGGGGGGGGGGGCGGGAGGCAGCGGGCGAAGCGTCCCAGGCGCCAGCGGGCGGCGGGGCGGAACGGCAACGCGGGGGAGGAAGCGCGGGGCAGCCGGAAGTGACAATGCAGCCAGATGGCTGGCGGGGAGACGGGAATGGCGGTGACCGCGCAAGGCCGCGCCAGGGGGCCACAAGGCAGAGAGGGGAAAGGCAGGTGGCAGCGGGCGAGGCGCCCCGGCCCGCAGGCAGCGGGGCGGAACAGCATCGCAACTGGAGGAGGCGGCGCGGGGCCGCCGCGGAAGGAGGGGGGCGCCGCAGGGCGCGCAAGCCGGGGGGTGGCAACGCCGGGCGACCCACTGGGCTGTCGAGTCCAGCGCGGCGCGTCTCGGAGAAGCACGGAAGTGGCGCAGGGGGCAGCGAGCGAGCGACGCGCGTCCCACGCGGGAGGCGCGTCGCGAAAGGCGGCGGCGGGGGGCGCTGAAAGACGCAGAAGCCGGGCAACGACGCTGGGCGGCCCAGAGGGCGACGCAGCGCGGCGCAGCAGAGGAGCGCCGAAATGGCGCAGGGCGCAGGGAGTGAGCGACGCGCGCCCCGCGCGGGAGGCGCGGCGCGAGGGGGCGGCGGCGGGGGGCGCCGAGAGGTGCAGGAGCAGGACAACGGCGCTGGGCGACCCAATATTATGGGCGGCCCTGCGCGGCGCGTCGGAGAAGCGCGGAAGTGGCGCAGGGGGCAGCGAGCGAGCGACGCGCGTCCCACGCGGGAGGCGCGACGTGGAGGGCGGCGGCGGGGAGCGCCGAAAGTTGCGGAAGCCGGGCAACGACGCTGGGTGGCCCGGGTGGGCGGCGCAGCGGGGCGCAGCAGAGAAAATCCAACGTGGCGCAGAGGACAGGGGGCGAGCGATGCGCGCCCCGCGCGCTGGAGGCACGTCGCGCGGGGGCGCGCCGAGAGGCGCAGAAACCGGGCAACGGCGCTGGGCGACCCAGCGGGCGGCCCAGCGCGCGTAGCAGGGAAGCGCCAAAGTGGCGCAGGGGACAGCGCGCGCGCGACGTGCGCCCCACGCGGGAGGCGCGCCGCAAGGAGGAGAGGAGAGGAGGGAGCAGAGCCGCGCGCGGAGCGGCGCGGTGCCCGCGGGCGGCGCGCCCTCTAGAGGTGCCAAGCGCAGCCGGGCGGCGGCGGCGGCTGCAGCAGGCGTTCAGTGACCGCGATGGAAACCACCGCCTCCGCAAGTTCACATAAAACATCCAGGACGGGCGGAATTCCGCATTTGTGGGGCAGCGTTTCCCACTTGCGCTCATGGCCCATTCGGCACTGCGCGCAGCTCAAGCAATTACGTGCGCCAGTACTTCAAAACTTACCCTGGCAATGCACCTTGAAAGCAGCAAAAAGTGTCATGAGAGACCTGCGGAACCTGCAGGACATGTGGGACTATCGAGGCCTGCAAGACCAGAGGGAGCTGTGAAACCTGTGGGACCTGTGGGACATGCGGGACCTGCGGGACCTGTGGGACCTGCGGGACTTGCGGAACTTACGAGACCCGCGAACCCTCCGGGGCCTGTAGGACCTCTGGGACTTGTCGGACCTCGGGGACAAACGAGCCCTGCTGGAGCTGTGGGACCTGTGGGACCTCGACTTGTGGGACCTGCGGGACCAAAGAGACCTGCGAGACCTGTGGGATTTGTGGGGTCAATGGGAAGTGCGGAACCTGTGGGGCCTGTGGGACATGAGAAACCTGTGAGACCTGTGGGGCCTGTGGGGCCTGTTGGGCATGTGGGACCTGTGGGACATGTGCGGCCTGTAACACTTGCGAGACCCGTGGGACTTGTGGGACTGGTGGGGCCCGTTGGACCTATGAGACCCGTGGGACCTGTGTGGTCCGTGAGAGCCTGTGGGACCTGTGAGACCTGCTGGACCTGTGGGTCCAGAGGGACCCTGTGGGACCCGCTGTGCCGGTGGGAAATGTAAGACCTTGGGGGCGTGTAGGACATGTGTGTTCTGTGGGATCCGTGGGGCCTGTGGGACTTGCGCGGCCTGCGAGACTTCTTGGAACTGTGGGACCTGTCGGGCATGTGGGTCCTGTGAGACCTGAGGGGCCTGCAGGATCAACGAGACCTGCGTGACCTGCGGGGCCTGTGGGCGTTGTGGGAGCGGTGGGGCATGTGGAACCTGTGGGACCTCTAGGATTCATGGGACATGTGAGAATGATGGGATTTGTTGGACCAATGGGACGTGTGGGGCCTGCGAGACCTTCCAGACTTGCGAGGCCTGCGGCGCCTGCAAGATTTGTTGGACCTGCGGGACCTGTGGGATATGTGGGATACGCGGGACATGCGGGGCTTGTGAGACTTGCGACAGCTGTGGGCCTTGGAGGGTTGCGGGGCCCGTGGGACCCGTGGTACCTATGGGAATTGTGGGACCAGTGGGACCTGCAAGGCCTGACAGACGTGCGAGACCTGTGGGACATGTGGGACCTGCGGGGGCTGCAAGACCTGCGCGACCTGCGAGATCTGCGAGACCTGTGGGCCATGTGGGAACTGTGGGACCTGTGGGGCCTGTCAGATACTTGAATCCTGTGGGACCTGCGACCGCCGAGAACCAAACTAAGGCCCTGAATTGTGGGACCGCCGGGCACCCAAATAAGGACCTTATTTGGCACCCGGGGAACTCCTTCTTAAATTTCGTGGATCGACAGATGTCTCGTGCTTTGGGACCATCGAGGCCCCCAGAGGGGGATTTATTAAGGAACCCGAAGGTTCCTTACGTCCACCATGTTTTCTTGGAGCGGGGGGACCCAAAATTCAAACTCCCCAGAGTGACCGTCGGAGGCCCTCAACTAGCCACCCCACTTGGAAACGCGACGCAACTGTTCAGCCGAGACCTGAACGCGACTCTGATGCCGTCACCGCCGCACCTGCACTGCATCCGCTAATCCGCAAGCAAGCCCAAGAAACAGGCCATGGAGGCGAGCAGAACCCCAGACGGCACCAGCTGACACCCAGGGGAGCTCACGACGGCCCACGATGGCCCCGAAATGTTCCACTGAGCCAAAGAACGGCCCAAGAGTGCCCCAAAAGGCCCCCAAGACAACCCAACAAGACCTCGTGACAAGCCCAATGCGGCCTGAGAGTAACCCGTGAGAGACCCAAGAGAGGCAAGAACAACGGACGCAGAATGAGGCAGAAACATAAAGGGACTCACGACGGGGGGGCGGAAGAGCGGGGCGACGACAACGAAAACGAAGGAGTGCGCCCCGAAACGACGTGGATCAGCGTGTCACATGTTGCGGCCATTGCACGGGCATGGGCGACGATCTGTCGCGTAGTACGGTTTTCTTGGCGATGCTCTAGAGCTCACCGCGCCGAAACATGCGCAATCGCCAAGCGCGGGGCGCGCTGCGAACAAATCGGCATGACGCGAGCGCCTGGTTCTTCACACGCAACCGCAGTGCGCATGACTTGTCAACGAAGCCGCGCTCTCCACGGGACGACCGGGCTCTCCATTTTGAGATGCGCGCAGTGAGACAACTCAAAGCAAACAATGCGATGAGAGGGAAGGGCAGGGCAAAGGGAAGAGGCTGGGCGAAAGGCGAACCACAAATGATCACCGCCCAAACGAACGTGGCAAGCGCAAGCGCTGAACAAAACAGAAAAAACGACATTCCTATGTTTTGGCGCGTCGCCTAGAAGGGAAGCGGGGCGGGCGGGGCGATAGCCCAGAAGGAACAAACTTAGCGGCATGCTAGACACTACATGAGGCCTCGCCACGCGGAGGCGCTCTGCCCGCATGAACGAGCGCATCGTCGCCCAAAATCGGCGCAATCACGCCGCGCGAAGAATCGCTGCGCGGGGGCAATCCGCCCATGCAAGACATGTGCAGCTAACAAGCGAAACTGGCGTTACGCGCCGCCTTAACCATAGTGCTGCAATGCCGCAGCGGCCACATTTTTACTACCACGACCTCCCCTGATCAGCGCGCGCATGGGTTGTGGCAAAGGGGCCCCGCCGCGCGCGATCCACACTCAGCCTCGCAAAAGCACATTGAAGGGAATCTCCACGGGAAAACCCGCAACACTCGCCAACGACAGCCGC